TTTATGCGGCCTGAAGTTTGTAACACCACTCCAGCTTGCACTTTGGGTAATATATTTTGCCGCTCGGAGCCTGGTCGGTCCGTGTTCAGAATAATAACACTTTAATTTGGCTTAGAGACCTGCGTCCCATTATCAGTGGCCAGGCTAGATTAGCGAATCACAGTATATTTTCAGCAGCCGCGCTCTTATAACATTTGAGCGGTGTAAGCTATGGTGATTGTGTTCTTTTTTACAGGCAATGAGATATGCTAATGCGGTTTTAAATTATTGATTTAATCTTTAAAGGGAGCTGTTATGAGGCACTCGCTGCGAAAAAGTGCATACAGACATTTTTATGAAACATCTGTCACACATACAAACAAAATACAACTATGAATTTATTTGTTTACGTTCCCTTCCTTCTACATGCAAGTACTGTAAATGCACAATACACAATGCTGTAACACTGTACATAGCTTCGTATTGGTACAGCACTGTGAAATCAAAATAACCCTAGGCCATATATTACACATTGGATTCTTGTGAGCTTTCATGTTATAATGCGCTGATGTCATGTACTGGTAGTTTTCAATCTAGCAGCTATCGTTTGTGGAGATTGGCAATTCCAAGGCTGAAATTATACACATGATTCTAGTGAAGGTGTATGTGGAGTACTTCCTGTTATACCATATGATATCACAAGTGCTAAAGTGCTAAATATGAAGGGTTTGTGTGAGAATAAAAAAAATAAAAGTCAAGATATGTTTTGTATAGTGTTGTTTCCTCATCACAAACATCCCAAAGATTAGAAAATTGTGTGATACAGGCCCTTTAAAGTATAACACTGCTTAGTAAGGATACAACCCTGTGACATCAAAATAACAGTTTTCTTGTTGCTGTTGTTGTTTTTTACTATTAAAGAACTCAAATGGAGCTAATTAGCAATTTTGCGCCTAATGGTGCACTCCAAGCATTTGGCGGCAGGGATATTTGCCACCTCCCACTTGCCCTGGAAACCCGCTCCAACTAGTAATTCCCACTTGTGAACTGGGAGATAGTCTGTAGGGACTCCCACTGCTCTTTGAAGATAAACTGTGACAATGCAACAATATTCTGTTATTTGAAATGTTGGAAACACACATCTTTGCATATCTTTAGTCTATGGATAGCATTACTATTTAGATATGAGGAAATTCAGCTCTGAGGTCAGAACTTGTCATTTTCAAGTACAAAATAACCAACCTCCCAGATGCAATACAACATTTTCTTCATTTTGTGGACTTGAGATCATTCAAAAGATAGATTATTTAGTTCTGATTTGTTAATTGCTAAGACAACAGTCCCAGTTTTCGTGACTCTAAAACCCGTGGACAGGCTGGGTACACAGTCAACTGCTCATTCTGTTAATGTACTATTGTTTAATGCCTCGTAAAACAGATGTCATCACTTGAACCATGCACATTCTCACAGTAGGCCTATATTTATCACCATATCTGAGGGGCCATGCCAAAGCCCAAGGGATTTAAAATAGAAGATAACAGATTCCCAACATTGAATCTCACCGAATCCAATGATCCAGCAGAACGATACATGACACGGATGCGTGCTTGTCTCAACATGAGTGACATATGGCAGTTAGTGGTTTAAATTTCCTGTTATAGGCGACATTTTGAGAACTGCACTGATCAAAAGGTAGAATATTTCATTTTGAAATGCTAAATGCTGTCTATATGATAATGCAGAAATCAAACAGGGATGTTGTTGTACGCTGTTCAAAAGCACTATGCATGTATTCAGATTAGAATAAACAAGCACTCATAACAGTAATGTGCTCGCTGAATGAAACATGCAATTTTTAATTACCCTTGAAAAGCCCTTGAGCCTTTCAATCAGGAACTGCTTTTAAAATGTAATTAATTTCATCATGTATGTCCGACACAAATCTGCATTTCATTATCATGTAATGAGGACTTATGTAAACGTGTGACATGGGGTAAATGTAACTACTATGGATAAGGAAGTCTTTAATATGTAAACGGAAACAACTACAGTATTAAAAATACACAATATGAACAATGTCAGTACAATGGGTGATGGTAATTACTATGTAAATATGAAGAGTTCAAAGATTATAGTATTCTGTTTTGTATTTATTTTATTTATTCTTTCATTATTTCTTGATGATCTAAAACATTCTATGATACTGATGATTACAGTAATTTTTCTAACCTGCTGATGTTATAATTAAACAAGGTATTAGAAACATAAGTGGTGCCAATATCTCATTAAACATGGCCCAACATGTAAAAGCTAATTTTTCCCCATGTTTTATTTTAGCTAAAATTGTTTTTATACCAGTACAGGTATAAAATATATAAGTAGCTCCTGAGGACAAAATATGCCCACTAGGGGTGTGCAAAAATATTGAAATATCAATACATCGTATCATTTAATGTGATGATACAGTATTGATATCGTGGGCTGCTGTATCAATATATTGCTAAGAGTACTTTTTAGTATATTTTACAAAATTATTTTGTTACAGCGCTACAGTTGTGTTGCTTGTTCAGAGAAAAGAAACTCGTTTATGTAACACATTTGACATATTCACTGTTTTGATGATTAAAAAGGACTTTACACAAGAAGTGATTTAACAAAGACTTTTAGTATGACAGCCATGTTTTAGTCTTTATTTTTTATTGAATCGTAACGAATCGTTTTGAAATATATAGTATCGAATTGAAAGCTCACTGTATCTAGATACATATCGTATCGCAGCCTATGTATCGTATCAGCAACTTCTTAATGATACCCAGTCCTAATGTCCGCTGTGTGCTGTCTGCGTCTATGCATTATATTATCTGATAAAGTATGTGTTAGAATGCTATTTTCATTCACTTACATTACCGTGGCAACAAAACTCCGCTCTAGTCTCTTAAAGTTGTGAAAAGTGCTAAACTTATCACAGTGAACAATTAGGAGTCTCAGAATAGATGAGGTAAGTGAGGAATAACTTTGGATGGCTGCAAACCATTATTCAACTTCAATATTTTTAGGATCCACAACAACTGAGCACAGATAACAAAATACTGTTAGAACTTACATTTTACTTCTATGGGGTATTAACTGCTAACACATAACATATTTAGATCAACATTTTATCTTTAATTGATCTGAAAATTCTATATTCTGGGAAAACAACATATTATCAGGTTTATAAGCTTCACTTTCCTTTTAGATGCTCTGAATCTCCCTTCCCTTTGCTCTCCACGCTAAGTCACTTCCCCTACAAAGCGCTATGACACACAATCAGCATGTGGGCTGAATATTCAACAGCTGACAGTAAGGAGGGTTTGAATCGCTGAATTACAGAAACATGTAGAGATGACATCTGAAACTTCTTCAGATGTTGTAGATGTTTTTGATGAAGGAACATGTTATAAAATGAATGTTATAACATGGTAGAAAGCTAAAAAAATATATATTTAGTATAAAATCAATTTAGCCCCTCTTAAAGCACACGTTTACACACATGTAACCTGGTCTCATCTATTCAAACACAGTATTAAGCTCACTTACATGTGTCTTATATATCCACACACTCCTCAGTGGGACTGCGTGTTTGCATATAGCCTCAGTCCTCTCACGCGTCTCAGAAGCCTCTAATTAGCTCCTAGAGAAGAGTTTAAACTGTTTGGTCCAACTCTAGAGACATGAACGCTGAAGGACTATCAGCGCTGGGCAAAATATACTCAGACACTTTTATTTTTGTTGTGTCTAGAGACCCCTCCAAGGTGGATAAGAAGAAGCTTTCAATTGGTTGTTTTCTATGCAAATGACTCACCCTGAAGTTTATGTGAATGGCCATTTTATTCCCAGACAAGGCCGAGGCTATAGTATTTCCACGTAGGGTTTTATTTTCTTTGTTTATGCCCTTTTGTTGACATTTTAGGTAATAAATTCTGTGAGTTATAAGGAAATTATACTAGAGTGCCTCATTTTACCAACCAGATGTTTAACAGAGATGGCAAAGTATAAAACAAAATTTCTTTTCTAATATTCGCATTAAGGTACTTTTTTTTCTACCTCATTAAAAAGTACATTGTGCTCTAACTAGAAGTAATTCATGTCCCTAAATGTGATGAAATGAGCAAAGCTATATATTTAAAGACGGGGAGTTGTGCAAAATCTGCTTTTTTGAGATTTCCACCATGTTAAAATGTTGTTCCCTCATCAAAAACATGTCTGAAGTGGTTTTGTTGTGTTGTTCATGCATATTTGAATAATCTAGGGATCTCCTCCAGGCACTATTGGAACTCTCATTACAAAATACAGCAAAACTTCACAATCCTGATGCGATAGTTTCATTAGAGCGATGCACACTTATAGTATTGTTATAGCGCTCTGAAGAGGGAGTGATTCGCGCAGGGAGCAACATTAATATATCGTTTTTGGTGAATATAGCATTTTCAAAACAATAAAAGATAACATGGTGATCTAAATATGCTGCGTTAGCAATTAATACCCCCTAGACGTGCAAATGTCCCCTCTTTAAGATGGATTTTGTGTCTCTACCTTGACCCTATCTGCCAATCCATTATACTCCACATTTAACTTTGTCCTTTGAGATTTCCACACGTCTTAACATAATAACATTTCTTGCAAACACAGTGACTATTAAATGCTAATGTTGTATGTCTACAAAACTACACAGACTATTAAAACAATAAGAAATGCCCTACAATGGGATCAAAGTTCACTGATGAGGATCTTAGCAACTGCCATAAACAAACCCTCCATGTGCCTGACCACATTTACAGAGAGCCGCCCTCTGACTCAGCCCTGACACGACTGGCCCATAGCTAATGCATAATAATGAGGCTAGGTTACATGCAAATCCCAAAGTGTTCCAAAGGTCAAGATCGTCTTTGTTTAGACTAGTGGCATTAGGTGATGCTTATCCGAGAAACTAAAGTCTTCACTGGTCGAGAGCACTCCACAAAAGCAAATAAAAGACTCACCATTGGGACTCTCCTCGTCTATGGCAACAATAGTAGCTGGAGGGCCGGATCGGGCAAGTTTGCATTCTGAAAAAGAAAGGAAACAACACAGAATTAGTCAGTGCTATTAAAAAATGTTGGAGTACTACTATTAAAAGTCCCATATTAAGAAAAAATTCAACATTTCAGTTTCAAGTCATGTTAGAATGTTGCTACTTTGAGTTGTGTTTTGTTTCATTCACACATGTTTGAGTAATCGTATATTATTGGTTATAGGATTATTATTATTATTATTATTATTATTATTATTATTGTCAGGTAGAGGTAGATTTCAACAGCTACCTTTTATCTTTAGCCCCCATCCACACTAGTACATATTAGAGTCGTTTTCGTTGCAGATGCAGTGTTTGTTGACACTAATCCGATGGAAAACGGCTCCAGAGATGGAGTACGGATCTGATCCGGCACTGTGTGAACACCTGGAAACGTTGATATGCTGATGTAGGTCTATGCGCCACAAGGTAATTCACCGCAAAAACACTAAGAGGCTAGAATATATGTCCATTCATATATACGGTCTATGCGTATGACCTGCAGATGTATAATCTCTGAAAAATTTAACATGAACCATCTCCAACGCGATAGAAGCACAGAACAGACTCAACGTTAGCAGAACACCCCTCTGCCACAGAAAGAACACATATAATCCACTGAGTCGTGTCCTTTAGTCCGACAGAAGCTAAACCACATCAGCGCACAATAGTGAGCATTTTTTTGAGCGCTCAGATGCATGCAAATTAGCCATGCAGTTTTAAATTTCATTTCTGTAAAATGTAAACAAATATGCGCCAAGCTGTGTGGATAGGTAAGGCTTGTGGACACAGAAATGACGTGTATGGATGCAAATCGTTTCCGATACGGTGATACGGTGATACGGTGATACGGTGATACGGTGATTTGTTTCAGTGTAAACATAGCAATAAAGGGGCTATTCCAGGTCTGAAATCATCCAAATGCTTCTAGTGAAGGTGTGGAGCACTTCCTGTATTACCACATGACATCCATCACAAGGTGGAACAGAGTGTCTTTGTTTGAGAAGAACTCAGCCAAAATGTGCAGGGTGTGTGGCTTAAATATGTGTGAATGAAAAAAAAAAGTCGCAAGCAATTCTTACCATTTTATGTTAATTTAGAGTATAGTAAATTTCATAACCTGTCACTTTTGGAAAATAAAAAAATAAAAAAATGGCAAAACGTAATTATCTGGGACGTACAATAATTTGTTGCAGGATTGTACAAACCCATACCCATAATTTTAGCATAATTACTCTTCTATTTCCATTTCCATTCATTAGTCTGTTCAAAACAACAAATCTGATGCACTGAAAATGACGCACGGGCACACACAGACTTAATCTATTGGTGTCAAATATCTGCAAATTTTTCAATATCAGACCAAAACCTTTCGATATTACTGATACCAATATTTGAAACTACGTATATCTTGTTCTTCTATAAATATTGTCACAGAAAATAACATAATTCTGATGTTTACTTTCTACTTGAAAGTGCTGATTTTGTCTACGTCTAGGCAGGTCTTACCCTCATATTGCCAATCTGCAGTAACAGACAAGCACGTTCCATCGGGAAGAGGAGGAGGAGATAAGGAAGGCAGCAGCCACGGGGAAGAGCAGAGGAGAGAAAAAAAAAGAAAAAAGAAAAATCGTGAATGGCACTTTCAGAACAAGATCAGGCAGCAAACATAGGGACAGTGTGGAAGCTGGGAACACAGTTATAAAGCAATATGTTACTAAATTCGAGAGACATTTTTTACGTTTTGTGAAAAAAAGGAATAAAGACATTGTGATTTGTCATGCATTTAGTATTTTTTTTTAAACCAACTGTCATGTCTTACAACCTATATACTTCTCCCATATGACGTATCATTATTATTATTTTCTTAAAGGGTTTATATTGCGCTATTTTCTGATCTATGTTGTTTCCTCATCAAAAGCATACATGGAGTTGTGTTTTGTTTCATTCACACATGTTTAACACACAAATCTGGCATATTTAGGTCAAATTCTCATCTGTTATACCTTGTGGTAATACAGGAAGTGCTCTGCTGTGTTTTTAGACTCCAAGCGCCTTCACTAGAATCATTTCTGATCATTTCAGCCCTGGAATTTCCAATCTCTTCATGATATCACAAGGTAGAACAGAGCATTTTGAGCTTTGGAGATGCAGATAGCTTAATATAAAGGATTATTCAAACAAAACACAACTCCAGGTATGTTTTTCAGGAGGCAACAACATTCTAACATGGCTTAAAGCTCACAATTTTACATAATATAGGACATTTAACACTAAAGCCATTCAATACAAAGAGTAATGGCATGCTGTCTTTCTCTCGACTCATTCCATCATATCTAATCTTCAGTCAAATCTTCTTCCTCAATCTCTCAGCATTCAGCACACGCTCTTACAATTGAGACCACTTCCTGCCAAATTCCATGCACCAAACTTTTTATTACCAACCAAATTATATTAAAATCATCATTCATTTGAATATTTTTATCTCCCCCAGGCTGGAATGTTTTTTGAACAAGAGGTGAGCAGAATTCATTTTGTGCAATCTGCAAGAGACAATGAAAACAGTTTCAGATGATCTATGCGCTTTTCCAAATTACTGTAGGCCAGAGGTTCCTTCACATTTTATAGTAACGGCCCCCCCGAGACTTTGGATGATCAGTTGTATACCAATAGTTGATATTATAATGAAGAAAACGCATTACATTCAGAACATTTCGCTAGCCTTGAAGATACAACTAAGTCACATCCCTCAAATAAAAAAGATGGATTTTTTTTTCTTTGCATAATAGGGCTGAGAATCACAGGGTCCCTCACGATTTTGATACTCGACATATGGCTCACAGTATGATCTTATCACAATATGCTGATACAATCCATCTGTTGCATATGAAATCCTGTGAAATATTACAGTTTTTTAAGAACCAAATAGATTTTAGCAACAATAATATGAAATACATCAAACTTAATCATCAAAACAGTGAATATATCAAGTGTATTGAATAAAAAAGTTTCCTTCCACTAAACACACAACTAAATGGTAGTGCGGTTATAAAAAAAATAAAAAAATAAAAAAGCTAAAAAGATACCAAAATAATACTGTTGGCAATATATCGACACAGCCGCCCACAACAACGATACTGTATCACAAATTTTAGTATCACAATCGCAGTTTATAAGAAGTGGACTAAGCGAGTGTGATAGCGTTCAGCTCCAGTCAAATGAAGCTCATTTTATTAACGATTATAAGGGAGAATTTGGAGCCAGGTCTATATTAGGAATTGGAATTTATTTACGTACAAAATAGCTAAATAGAAACACCAGGATTATGTAGTGTGGGTTAATACGAACATTTTAAGACCATTTTAAAGCCTGACTACAGCAGTTACAGAGAGAGGGCAAGATGGAGACGGAAACGTCCCCTTGCTCATTTCCTATTTAGAATGCGACGGCTTGAGGGTTAACTATGTCCACTTATACAGTCAGTATTTTTGCACACCCCTGAGTCTTTGGTAGTCTTGCCTTGTTTATACATACCACACATTGGGAACCACTGTATGTACGCTCTCTTGACCTAATTTAGCACGTCTTGCATTTTGATTGGCTACTTCAATTAATCTGCTCAAACTCCAAAAAATTGCTTGCTCCACATATCTCTCCATATGTGCTGTCTATACAGATATAATCATGCATAACATCACTACCTCTCCAGAGAATATTCAGGAAGGTCCCAGTAGAGTTTGAGAACACATATTTGCTCACCTAGAAAACCAGCCTCATGGAACACTGATCACATACGGTATCTCCACAGCTCCCTCTCCCTCGCTCTCTCTCCTCTGATTAAGTATTACAGCCCCATGACATCATACATCCTCTCTCCATCCACAGCTATTGTTTCCAGGAATGTGCAGTGGGAGACGAATTCTTAAACATCGGCAAATATAGATCAAACGACTATCGGGGTCTCTGAAGTATCTTATCCCATTATGGTGGGAAGAACGCAGAGATTGCTTTTCCTGCCAAAAAAAAGTGCTGAGTTTCAAATTATTTTCATAAGCAAATTTTCTTGAACAATGTGCACAAGGATGAAGAATAACTCACTTGGCATTTGATGGAGAAGAGTCGTAGGTTAGGTCAGGCTTTTTACCATTTGTAGTGAAAAACCACATTGAAAAAGCATGTGTAAAAAGCTCCATGTGACACTATCATTACAGGCAACATATTGACACAATGAAATAAACAAGATATAAAGATTAAGGAGCTAAAATATCAAGGAACTACCATCAAAGTTCAAAGTGCAAAAATCTTGAAAGTTAAAGGCACTGATTAATGTGTTAAAAACTATATTTTAGTTCACAGTTTGCAGGGTCCAAAGTAATTCCTCACTTTCCTAATAGATTCCAGGCATTTTCATTACCGTATTTTTCAGACTATAAGTCGCACTTTTTTCATGGTTTGGATGGTCTTGCAACTTATACTCCGGTGTTACTGATATATTAAAATGTTCAGAGTGACAGCCGTGAGAGGCTCTAAGCTTGTGTGTCAGTATCTGCTACTCCTACTACTCCTGTACCACTGTCACTTAATTCTACTGTGCATGCCTCCTGTAGAAAAAGCCACTGTCCTGCTGCAAGTAGTGAAATATTCAGCAGAAAAAAGTAATCGAGCAGCGGAAAGTGGAGTGAGTGAGAAACTTGTGAGGGACTAGCGGAAAGCATGGATGAAGAACACAGCTTCACGGCAACCAGGCGAGTGCACCATGCAACTTTCCTGGAAGTCATTGGATGGATCGATAAAGCCTGGACTATAGTGACAACCGAAACCATCCTGTTGGAATTCAGAAAGGCCGGAATAATTCTAACTGAAGCTGATTCTGAGTGAGACGACAGCTACGCAGAAGAGGAAGCGGCGCTCTGTTTACTGTCGAAGATCGGAGCTGGTCAGAAGTGACACCGAGGATGAAGAATTCAATGGATTTAGTGATTTGGGGTGAGATCAAGAGTTTGGTAAACTTGTTCTGTTCTGTTGTTTATGCTATAGTTATCTGAAGAACTGTTAAAATGTTACATTAACATACCAGACGCCTGTTCAGCCTGTTGTTCTCTATTCTATTGTTATGACTATAACTCGCATTTCAAGATGAAATGTCGGTTCCTGGTCTCTGATTTTATAAAATAAATTTCCCCCAAAAAGTGCGACTTATATCTTATTTTATCTTCTTCATTATTGGCATTTTTGGCTGGAATAACTTATAGTCCAAAAAATACAGTATATTTCTAAGCAGAGATCAGTTTTGCCGTCAGTGCCAGGCTAACAACAACAAGCATTCAAACAGCACACTTCCTGATTCCCGGACAATAAAACTTTAACACTGTATAATTGGGCATGACACAGCGAACTAATTTTGACCCCAGAGATTTTACTACGTATTTATATTGGAGCAAGGAAATAAAATGGGTACAGCCACTTTAATGCCTTTGGAAATGCATAGTAATGTAGAATCTATAGCTTTAATTCACTTCAGTTTTTAGCATATGTAATCCCCTATGAAATACGGCAAACTCTGTCTAAGAACTCACTGTACTGACATATAGGTACTCAAAGGGTGCAAACTGTGCCAAAAGTACAGACAAAAAGACTTTAAAACCCCAAACGGATATGTCAGCTGTACTTGTTTGCAGGCAGCCTGTATCTTTGTTTTTCACCAGTGTTCTGATTCATCATGCAACACTTTCTCAAATATGACAGGATCTAAAATAAGACTGAGTTAAAGGTGCACAATATCATTTTTCTGTTGGGAGTCCACGACCTGTTTGTCTCCAAGGAGCTGTTAATGCTTTACCAGAAATAGTTGCACAGTATGGCATTAAAGTTATCTATCTTGCAAGTCAATTATAAAATAAGATAATCCTTTAATGTCTCCCATTGGAGAAATTTATCTTGGGACAGGGGATCACAAGATCAACATTCACCATAGAACAGAAATAAATAAGAGACCAAGTATGACCACGAGTGATACACCAACAGGACCTCTTTACTTCACTCTTTACAGGCAAGCCCTTCACAATCTTGCATTCTATACGAGAAAACATTGTTTTTGTTTACATCTGGATTTTCTGTACATGCGCAGTGGCTGGTAGGCAAAAAGTCAGTCGTCCCGCTCGTTTGTGTTGACAGTTGTGTTGTGTATGTCTGTCATGAGATAACTCCTCTTATTTTGAAGTAGGTTTTGCATTTATAATTGTTTTGGCATGACTTCATCATCTTACTCTAAGTCACTGAACGTTGAGGATCAAAAACGTTACTTTGAAAAGTTAAAACTCACAGATAACTATTGACGATGTTGAAGTTGTACTGTTGTATGACGATTGTTGATGCTGTACGCCGGTAACTTGACGATGTTGATGCTGACTTGTTGATATGGATGCTTTTTCCCTACCAGTGTGGCTGATGTGACGTCATCGCGTTTTCTCGTATTAATAATTGCACTCCCTAAGCCTATGTGCAGCTTTGATTGCACATTCCCC